AAGCGCTGACACCTTGTCTGGATCACATCCCTTAGGTCTTGCCTACCTCCCTTTGACCCGCGATTCCTCCTACCCCTACCCGCAGGCGGGGGAGGAGCGCAAGCCGCGACACTAGCCTTCTGTGCCTGTCTCTGATCCTCAGAACGAGATGGGCCAGGACCCCTCGTGACCTGGAGACCTGGACCTTCGTGGAGCACCGCCATCATGTGCAACGAAGCGACAGCCTGACCTGCTGCTGTGTATGCCCTGCCATTCAAGCGAGATGTATCCTGAAGGGGCTTAGATGGTCAGGAGGGAGTCTTAAGAGAGGATGTCTCACCATAGAGAGATAGCTAGCCAGCGTCTCTTCTACGGGGGGCATCTTCTCATAGCCGTTTTCGCGCATCGCCTCGATGTTGGCATAACTCGTATGCTGGAATCGATGGATGCGTGAGGAAAACGGCCTCTTCCATTCCTTCTCAATCTCTGTATGGAGATCAGGAAGAAAGGAAGGCTCACCTGAGCTGGAGGGTTACGGCCAGAAAGACAGCGCTCATTGAGACGACCTCACAACGTCACTTTCTTGGCCCGCTTCCATGGCAAGTCAAGCCTCCATAACTTCCAAAACCCATCATCTCTTTAAACTCATCGGCCTGATCCACCTGCGATCCCCACAAGCTCATTCTCCTCCGCGCTTCAGCAGTCCTGAACCGCGGGGAGCCGATGGCTGCCCCTCTATCCTCAAAAAGAGAGACAAACGAGAGCGGAACTTTTTAATTGGAAAACGCTCACAGTGAATGCAGATTGCCCTCTCGAGGAGATCGCGTGCGTGCTCCTTGCCCAAACAAAAAACGCAGAGATCGCGTGTGTCATCAGATCATGCTGGTGAGCCTTTTACCCCGTGTTTGGGGTAAAAGGCCCCTCTTGCCACCTCAAACATTTATAAGATTTTTAAACAAAATAAACAACTTCAATGATTTATTTTCACACAAAATATGTCGCTCCATTAATGTTCAATACAACGTATATATTTTTTTCTGCAATTATACATTTTAGGCGCAGTGAATAGCACATTTTTTCTTAAGGTCGGCTTTTAGCCCCGTTGTACCCTATATTATACAATCTCACACAATAAAACCGTGACAACATTATATAATATATGCTTTTTTTGGTGTGGTTATTCGATATACAACCCATGTGACAACTAGCCCCGGTCTCCTCTATAACTGATTACAATAGCAATAAAAACAATGCGTAATTGTAACCATAACCACACACAATATAGCATTGCTTATGTACATTACACCGCAATGTTTGCAGTAGCCTACACTTCATAAATTGTTCATTTGTACATTTAAGTTAATTATTGCACTGTATGAGACATTTGTATTGCATATGAACCATACAGTGGGCTTTTCCAGCATTACATGTGTCAATATTCCATCCTCACCAAACCATCCTTACAACGTTAACAACATGTACATTTAAGTTAATTATTGCACTGTATGAGACATTTGTATTGCATATGAGCCACACAGTGGGCTTTTCCAGCATTACATGTGTCAATATTTCATCCTCACCAAACCGAACGGGATTTTTGTCTTCTTACAACGTTAACAACATTGTTTCGCAAGCTGAACAAACGACATTAAAATATCGTAGTAGATACTGAAACATCAACAAACTGTTGAGTTTTACATAACAATAATGCTGCTGCTCTTGGTTCGTATCTGATCACAAGTTTTGTCTAAACAGAAGATAACTATAAAGTGAACACGCGGTCTATACTGCGCACAACGCCAAAATGATCTATCATCTAGTCTGTTACACATGAAGAAACACACGTTTAAGTGTGCTTTCCTTTGTCGCGTCACTCGCTTACAGCATAGACACAGTGTGAATAGCTTTTAAATAAGCACAAAACTACGTTTATGTTCTAACCTACCTTGTAATTCCGGTGAATGTGATGCTCGACCGCTGCGCTCTGAGCGTTCACGCCTTCAGCGCTCAGCTTTTCACGCATAGTCACACCTCAGTCACTTCCTACCCCCCAACCCCCTTTTAAGTAAAGTTTGAACCAATAATTGATCAAACACTTTTGGTCAATCTAGGGTAAATCTATAGTGACCTCTTTTTTAAGGGACAACTCATTAAGTAGAACTCTGACAGGAAACTTCAAAGCCTTAGGCTGTTCAGCCAAACCTGAAAAACCAAGACCAAAGCACATACAGTGTGAGCCGGACAGTAGAGTCCTCTCTAATATGGTCATTTGGCCCACAATCCTTGGCTACTATTTATAGTCGTCTTATTTTTACATTATACAGTAAATATACTTTGTAAAGATGCATACAAACACACACACACACGACTGGTTTACTATCGTTGTGGGGACTCTCCATAGGCGTAATGATTTCTATACTGTACAATCCGTATATTCTATCGCCCAACCCTACACCTAAACCTACTCCTCACCTTTCTGCATATATATATTTTTTTAAAAACGTTTTATGCATAAAAGCACAATATATTTTCACAATTATGAGTGAAAAGATCACTCTTACATCAAACTAACTTGATATTAATACACAAAAGTAAAAAAATATATATACACTTTTGGCATGCAGTTTAACAGGATGTCTTTACTCAAAATGTGCCTTTAAAAATCAGTTGAGGGGCCTGTTAAAGGGTTAAGTAAAGCAGAAGCATGCAATCAGGCCTTGCACACCTCAACAATAATTAAGGTCTCTAATCTCTGTCTCTCTTTTCAATTTATAGATCTCATAGTGGCCACATGGGGGCACCAAGGAATCAAAAATATTGTCTCATGCATTTAGTTCTGCACTGATTTCAAATGTTTCTCTTGTTTCCCCTTAGGACTGTAGAAAGCCATTAGTATACTTGTTATATATATTTTTTCAATTAGTATGATCATTATATTTTTTAAGTCTCAAAAATGATAAAACTCCAAATGCTAAATCTTCCCAATTATAGGACCCCATCTAGGATGAGACCACAACATCAGTTACAATATTCAACTTTAAAAAATAAAAAATAATAAAAAAAAATAAAAAAAAAATAAAAATGCATACTACAAGCTTAAAAAAAAATTTTTTTTTTAAATTCATACTACAAGTGGAGTGCAAGTAAAACAAGCAAGAACATACTACGACTACGACACACTATGGCAGATATTAGCATAAAAAGTTCAGCTATGGCTATACAGCAGAAAATCAGATACAGAGCAGCTA